ATCTTAAATCCCTTAACGCCCGCAGGGACAGGAGTCACTTAAAAATACGTATCCCACAGGGGCTGCGGGTGATGTTTATATTCCCCAAAGTAAAAAAAAAAAAGGCGTGAGGACTTGTATGGTAGAGGAGCTTAAACTAGCCGGACGCGGAGCAGAGAGCAGGAGAGCCCACTTTACACCAAGGGGGGTGGGGGCGTGGAACAAGCCGCTCTGCCGGGGTTCTTGCCGGACACAGATCGATGAGGTCCTGGGATCGGTTACCTACTAACTACCAGCCGAGGCAGATGGGCTCCCCTCTGTCGTGACCCCTCTCATGTTCCTATGCCCAGCGAGACAGAGGGACCCCCATATCAAGCATGAAACAACACGAGAAAAACCCCCATAGGTACATAATACAGGTCTGATTCTGTTTTTTTTTTTATTTATTATTATTGGTTTAAATATCCAAGCAGATCCGAGACACAGAAGTACAAAACACGAACGAATTTGGTCTCCTCCTTCTGTCCTGACAGAAACGCGTCGCGTTTAAGAGCTCTCGTTGCAAAAATAAAAAGACAGGTACAATTTTTTTGTCATCATAAATACAGAAATATAGGCAGTCCCGCCAGTTCCATATAAAAACCCCCCCAACAAACAAACAAACAACAACATATAAATAAATATAATTTAAAAGACACGTTCCTCGCACTGGGGAACACACGCACAGAGACAGTCAGGCTACGTGAGGCTAAACAGTTCTTTTTTTCCTCCTCATCTGCGCACTTTCTTGGTTAGTTTTAAGGCGATTTTCTGGAGAGGTTCCTGACCCCGACGGAAGCCAGTTTGGGCGATAAATAAATAAGTGACGTTCCTCGGGGGGGAGGGGAGTCGCCTCAGACAGCGGCCCGCGCCGTGTGGTGCGTGGGGTGGCACGCGTGGAGGTGCCGCGTCAAGCCGGGGCAGGAGAAGAAAGTCTCGGCGCAGAATCGACACGGGTGGAGCTCTCCCGCGGCGGGGGCCGGGGACTCGCCGTTGCCGGTCCCCGGGCTGGGCCCCGCTCGCTTGTCCGGGAAGCCCGCCGCCTGCCTGGCGTGTAGCGCCAGGTGTTTGCGCAGGTAGGCCTGCCTCCTGAATTTCTTCCCGCACTGCGGGCAGTCGAACAGGAGCTCCTCTTCCGGGCCGGCCTCCGGGGGCGGAGGCGGGGGCGACAGGTCCGGCCGGCTCTGGGAGCGCGGCGGCGGCGGCGGGCTGGGGTGTCTCTCCTCCGGCTGGCCCGCAGCGGGGAGAGCGCCGCCCTCCGCCGGGGCGCCCCTGGGCTTGTGCCAGCGCCGGTGGGAGGCCAGGTTGGCCGGGCAGCTGAAGGCCTTGTCGCAGTCGGCGCAGCGGTACTCCACCCGCACGATGCGGGAGCAGCCGTGCTGGGCCAGGGAGAGCGGGTCGGCGTAGCGCTCCCGGCACAGCTGACAGACGAACTCGCCCAGCGGGCTGCGGGCGCGCCCCCGCGGCGGGGCCCCGTCCCCGGGCCCC